CGCTTTCGAATGAGCGATTCCTCCTTGGGCGGCCTCGTGTCTCCCCCGCGCAACACCCCTCGACTGCCCCAACCGCTACCACCTCAAGATGGCCGTGGTGGGATGGTGCGCCGATTCACAACTGATTCCGGCCGGGTGCCGACAATTGCCTCCCTGACGACGCTGCGGAGTGGCCAGGAATCAATGGACTATGGCCCATCGGTATGTGCTTTTGGACACAAATCACCCGACCCGTCCCTACTTGTTTACCATACCACGAGTCCCCAATCTTGGACCCAGCTATTTTCAAGCTACATTCTTGAGTTGCAAGTGCCTGTTACTGACTTTGAACCAATATAGACCTACCATAAAGTTCAGCTTGTAAGCCTCCCGTCTAGCCTGATAACATACGGAACCCAATCCCCTCCTCTCTTATGGAAACCCTATCCTCCCTCCCCTTCCTTGGGCCGACAGTTGCATACTCCTCCAACCCCTCCACGGCTCTTTACAAAGCAAAGATATCTGAATAACTCAATGTTGGCCAAGTACTGACAGCATGTGTAGCTGGAGAAGAAGAAGCTCGAATACGAACGCCTGCGAGAACAGAAACGAAGATTCGAGGCTGAGATGCAATTGCTAGACTTGCAGCAGCGCAGAGAAGAACTAGAGCTTGCTCAGATGCAGAAGGATCTCGGACGCAACGGCAATCCAAGTGCTGGCCACCAATCCGAACCTACAACCCCTCCAGAGTACAGAGAGACAAGCTCCGGCTTTCCTTCAGTATTCTCACGGCCAAACAGATACTCCACATCAAGCATCATTTCACCCCCAGGCATCTACAACAGACAAGCGAGATCTGGCTCTGTCCTCACGAGCCCCCAGTCAAGCATCATGCCATCTCGCCAGGTCATGGATGACAAACTACCGTCGAAATCTGTCCCAGGATCACGGCGCAACAGTGATGAGGACAAAGAAGAAGCAGTCAGACAAGACCCAACCAGCCATCGCTCTACCAATGCGTAAGTTCACTTTTGCTTTATCCACGCTCGCTTGTGCTCGCTTCATCTCGCTTCCCCATTTCTCTACCCCTTTTCATCACTTTTTCCCAACGACCATGGCTATATCTTGTGTCCGTGAATCACCTTCATTCGCCGCCATTAAGAACTGAAGTCTCCCCGCGCTCGACAGCTCTATAACTACGAGCTACCATTGTTTAATTCACTCGGAGCTATTTTTCGCCAGTTATATAACCGAGGCGCAGCCCTACATCTTCCCCAATCTTTCCAACAAAATATTTCCATCCTCCAACCTCCACATACTTGCACCGCACACCTCACTTCATTGCTGCTTCACAACCTCAAACTCAGCTTCTCAGGCAACTAGAACCTCTCACTAATAGCATTGTAGCCTACACAGGTACTCAATGCCAGTTACTAAATCTCGTAACGGGATGCACGAGCTCGACCAGACAAACACTGCTCGATTCCTCTTCGGCGAGGAGGAGAGCTCGTCCACCTCTGATGTCAAGAACTATCTGCAGATGAATACCACTGATGACAAGTTTCCTATCCTTGTTCGCCGTGATGAGTATCCTGGCCTGGTTAGTTTTCCCCTTCTTTAATACAGGTATATCACTGACTGCCCAATGCAGCTCTCCGCCTCCTCTGCCGCGCTCGACCTGGCCCTGTCTCAGTCTCCTGGTCCTGATGCTAGCGCTAATGGATGGGGTGCGTTTACCCGTCACCGCCAATCCCAACAGAGCCTACCGATGAATACACTGCACGGATCTACTCCTGCTTCGCAGGCAAACGAACCAACTTCTCCCATCAGCGTCCGACCTGCCTATCGTCACTCGATCGACATGAACTTCTTTGAGGGCCAGCAGGACTCTTCTTCGCAGGTCAGCTCGCCAACTAGTCACACCCAAGCTACCCCTCCAAAGCTTCAGTCCTCCTACTCTGCAAACGACGTTCCAACCATGAGATCCGCTGCCAATAGCATCAGCGGCGGAGTTAACAGCACGCCAAACTCTCATGCTCAGCAGCATTTGCACAACCACAACGCTAGCTTGGGCCGTATTCCTCTTAATGCTGTCAATAACAGACTGAGCCGCGATCTCAATTCTGGCGACACCTCAACCTTGCGTGATGCCCAGAACTCAAGCTATCAGTCAATCCAGTCTGCGCTTCAAGCCAGTGCTGCTCCTTTCGGCCCATCTCTTACTCAGGGCATGACTCAAGCTCCTATCTCAGCTGCCATGACTGTGTCCACGCCTCAGCAGCAGTACCCTCTGCCTGCTTCCGTTTCTGGCTCTGTGTCTGGCTCTGTCCCCGGCTCTGTCCCCGGCTCTGTTCCCGCAGCTGTTCCCGGTGCTGTTCCTGGCTCTGTGCCAGGTTATTACAACAACTACAACATGCAGATGATGACAATGGGTATGCAGAATATGCATATGGGTCAGCCAATGTACCCCCCGCAGAACCCTTACGCCAATTATGGCCCCATGTACCAACAGCCTCTTCGTGACAGTCAAGCTAGAGTTATTCAGCAACGCCGCCAGAACGATGGTGAAGGTAAGCAACTCATCTCCACTAATTAAATCGCTCTAACAAGCAGCAGCTATGAACCGTTTCGCCAACTTGCCGCTTGAGCAGCTCGGTGGTGAAATCTACACTCTCTGCAAGGATCAGCATGGTTGCAGATATCTGCAGAAGAAGTTGGAGGAACGCAACCCGGAGCAAGTCCATATGATCTGGCTTGAAACCAATCAGCATGTCATTGAGTTAATGACCGATCCCTTCGGAAATTACCTCTGCCAGAAGCTTCTAGAGTTTTGCAACGACGAAGAGCGTACTGTCCTCATCGAAAACGCCTCCAAAGACCTCGTTCGTATTGCCCTCAACCAACACGGAACACGCGCTCTCCAAAAGATGATAGAGTTCATCTCAACCCCTGGCCAAATTCAAACCATCATCTCTGCGCTTCGCTATAGAGTTGTAGAGCTCATCCAAGATCTGAATGGAAACCACGTGATTCAAAAGTGCCTCAACAAGCTGACTCCAAATGATGCTCAGTTCATTTTCGACGCTGTTGGCCATCATTGCGTCGATGTTGGCACTCACCGTCATGGCTGCTGCGTCCTCCAGCGCTGCATTGATCATGCTTCTGGCAACCAGAAGGCTTGGCTCATAGGACAGATCTCCAACAATGCTTACTCTTTGGTCCAGGATCCATTTGGCAATTATGTTGTTCAGTATATCCTAGACCTCAATGAACCCGTCTTCACCGAGCCTCTAGTCGCCCAATTCAAAGGTCGTGTGCCCCAGCTCTCGAAGCAAAAGTTCAGCTCGAACGTCATTGAAAAGTGCCTCCGCTGTGCTCAAGAGCCATCTAAGGACATGTTGATTGAGGAGATGCTGCAACCCGCTGAGCTCGACCGCCTACTTAGAGACTCTTTCGCAAACTATGTCATTCAGACTGCCCTTGACTATGCCAACCCGGCCATGAAGAGCCGTCTGGTTGAGGCCATCCGTCCCCACCTGCCAGCCATTCGCACCACTCCATATGGTCGTCGTATCCAGGCCAAGATTCAAGGTAGCGATAGTCGCAGCGGCCAGTCTAGCGGACAGCAGACTCCAAATGATGCCGAAACCAGCCAGGTCCCACTCCGTCATCAACGCGGCATGTCCAACGTTTCCACCAGCAGTTTTGCGAGCCCAATCAGCTCATATACGAACGGGTTCTCGCCTGTCAGCCCTGCTCCCAATTCCAATGGTCTACCAGTGTCATCATCCGGCCCAGGGCAATCCAGCATCTTTCCATCTAGTGATAGACTGGCCCCTGCCCCTAACCAGCAGCAGTCTTATCAATATGGGTTTGGACGTGGTGGCAATCAGACTGGTTCCAACAACTGGCTCTGAGCTATTCATGACGATACGATCTTAACGCTTGTAACGGTACTAGGAACGATATTACATTTTCTAGTCCTCGTATTGGCGGTCGATTCTCAATTCTCTTCTACGGTTTGATCCTCCCCACGAATTCCAGCCTAGATCGCGAGACGCGCCAATTTCGACGACTGTTTTCTCATACGATTTTTACGGCCCTTGTTACATTAGCATCGTGGGTACCGCATCGGTGCGGGCCCTGCTCTCCGCCCCCGATCGACCGCATGCATCTTGAGGATGGCCTCCTGCCCTTTCTCGACTGCCTCTTGTACCATATCCAATCTCAAAAGCCGATCGCGGCACGAATTTTTACACATGGCAATCTTCTCAGCGCAAGGTACACTATGAGCGTTTGCGCAGCTCGATCTGTACCTGTACGCCAATCAGAGACGACATAGACCTTCCATTTCCTTGGCTTTCAATGGGTTCTGCGATGATTTTCTTTTCTCTTCAGCCCCGTCAGCAATGAGTTCCTTCATTCTCAGCCGCTCCGGCAAAGCATAACAGATCTCTGCTTCATTCATGTCTCCAGCTACAGTCATTCCAACCTGGACACAAAAGATCTAGCTTTGGCGATGCGCGTTGATGCTGTGGTTCTCACTCTAGCGTATCTGGGCCTCATTTTTGCTGCACATATGTCCGCTCTCGGTGATGCATCATTTTGCGAGCCTTTCAAGCACAGCCATACAGCATGTGAATTACTATTACCCTATTTTCCTTTCCGTACATCTGGTCTGGTCGTGGGAATGGGGATCTGCTTGGGGATCTGCTTCGCAGCCAACACTTGTAACTAGAATTCAATGGAGAACAGTTCGTCAACCTGCTGCCTCATGTCATGAATATCATAAAGTGAGGTAGGTAAAAAATCGTAAGATCTAGTGATACCGGACAAGAATTCCATCTCTATAGATTGTGGTAACAAAAAAGAAATAAGGTGAAAATAGTATTTTCACGTGACGTATGTTTTCGAAGCGACCTTGGGTTCCGTTAGCTCAGTGGGAAAGTTACTCACAAAATCTGGTCGGGTAAGTTTAGCACAGCGGCTAGTCTTATATAGCAAGAGCTAATTGAATAATTGCAGTTAGCTCAGTTGGTTAGAGCGTGGTATGTTTGAACACAGAGGTTTATAATTGCAAATAAATCTGACTTAAATAGGTGCTAATAAGACGTCCGAGTCACGTGAACGCCAAGGTCGCGGGGTCGATTGCCGTACTGACCATTGGATAATTTTTGCAAGAGAATTGCACCGTTACAGAGACTAGAGACAGATGCGGCCAGAGTATATGTATGATTTTGACTTTGTAATACGCCTATGCGGTATTTCCTTTTAATTGGTTGGTTTTATGGTCTTGGCTGAGTAATATGAAGGAAGGGTCTCTTAAAGCACTATACTGTATATAGCTGTTCTCTATATAGCGCCAAGGCACTACACAGAGTAATGAACCAACAAACAAACAACCAATTTTGATAAGCGCAGACAGGTCGGAAATCTCTTTTCCATTATTCCCAGTCAACCCCATTCCTCCCTATGTGCCTCTGCCCATATTTCTTCCAATCACAGATGCTTATAAGATAATTCATTAAACTTGCATAAACATGCTCTGACGCCTGGCAAACTCGCCCCATTTCCCACGAGAGCAGAGAGATTTGACCTTACTTGCCAGACAAGGCTGAGTGCAAGGCTGAACAAGGATATGAGATGGATTCCGAGAGGAGCAAGAAAGGAAGACTTATTCCGCTGAAAACTACACTAGAAGTAGAGGCTCGGGATCGAGTTATTGATGTTTATATTGCCTCCATACCACTGCGGCAAGCTAGTAATGCTTTGAAGTGAGACATTCTCATAAACTTGTCATTGTCTGGTACTAAATTATGTACAGTACAGTTCGGCGATTAATACCCAACGATGGCGGGTTGGATCTCCAACACCTTCGAAGGTTCTCTAAGCCTTCGCATGTCCCTTTGCATGTTCAGGCTACTATCGCCTCAGTAAAGTCACCGGCTTCAGGCACAGAAAATGCTGAAAGCGAAGCTGGGGAGCTGTTGCTTGTCGTGGGCTCGGTCGAAAGTATTTCAAAAGAAACTATTATAGAATCACTATGCTCGGTACACACACCCTCTGCTATTATCATCACTCAAGTCCCTCTCCTGGCGCCAACATCGCAAGAGCAAGCCACTCGTTTCAGCAGCCAATATTGGCCTACAGTCTACAAGAAGAGCAACCCCTTTGGGCCACATCCTAGTCTCATCTCCAGAGCAGAAGAGGAACTCGCGTATGAGGCTCCTAAGTGGATGGCTTTGGCTGTTGCTGTTGCGCAGGAGACGCGAGCAGCGGGTACAGGAGAGGAAATCGGCGTCGTCGTTCTTCGGCGACATGACGGGATTGCAACACCAGTCGCTGTCGCTGGCGATATGCGATGGTTGAACTGGCCGCGTTTCAAGACTGGCAATCCCGCTGCGCATGCTGTTCTCAGGGCAATCGCCATGGTCGCTGATGGTTTACGGAGAAGAAAGGAAGATGCACAGCTTGCCGCCGCAACTAGTGCAACTGGGTTATTCCGGGACGAACCCCGGGGCGAATTAGAGCAGTGTGACAGCGTTGCGGGGGATGATGGGTATCTCTGCCATGATCTGGAGATCTACTGTACGCATGAGCCATGTGTGATGTGCGCAATGGCGATTGTGCACTCGAGATTCGGAAGAGCGGTTTTTGGGCGCCGGATGCCGAGAACAGGTGGACTTTGTGCTGATGGCGAGCTGGGGCATGGTTTATTCTGGCGCAAAGAGCTTAATTGGACATTATTTGCCTGGCAATGGAATAATGAAAATGAGGATTCAACGGCCCAGAAAGGAGATGAGGACCTTCATGCTTGAGAACCAGCAGCGTCACGACCTTTACACTTACAGAAAGAGCAATGACCCACGGATACGAGAGATGATTGTGAGCATTGCTCCAGAAGATCTCAATGCATACACTTATCCTGATGTCTTGCGACCAATGAATGACCAGATCCCCAACAGCTACTCTTACACGGGCACTCACGAATATCTTGTAAAGCACGGATTGGTCTATATCTATATTCATTCCGCCTATGTCTACAGAGAGACACGATCGCATATCTCTCTATCTCACAAATGAATACTCATCCTTCGGCAATCCACCATCTAGCTGATATGTCAGCCAGCAAGTGTCTCGAGTGGGTTTAACTTGTGATCTGGCTAATGGCGGTCTGGATGCAGTTGGAGACACCCTTCCCGCAGGACTCCGTGTTAATATCAGTGATGCAGTCCATCAAAGTAGCGATGTTGAGAGGCTGGAATTCACGAGCCTCGATGGCATGGTTGCCTCCTTATAATATTGTTAGTGATATCCCCTGAAAAGGGGCTACACCTAAGAGTATGATATACCAGTGAGGTTGGCAGACTTGGTTAGAGCAAGGTTAGGACAGATCAGGATAGCAAGAGATTTTGCATCTTGATGGATTATTTGGAGCTGGCGGTTTGTGAGGCATGTTGACTTGTAGATTGGTAGAGTTGGTCGAAAAGAAGTAAATAGAGCTGATGAAAAATCGGAAAGGTCATTCTACCTCGACTTATAGACAATTCTAAACCATATCATAGCTCTGCTCACTTATTATCCGAGATTCAATACCTCGATCGATAATACCACAGCCTCCAAGCTTCCGGTATTCAAGAATCCCTGTCGGTGGGACGACCACACATTCCCACCCCCCACCCAGAAGCCGGCTCACGCAAGGCGCCTGCGCCAAATCAAGCAATTCTTCCTCCTCCAAACCCCCTTGTCTCCTCCACGCCCTCTATTGCAAGCCCTTCCCATTCGGCATCCCTACTCAAACTAACACGTCTGACAATCAAGCACATCCTAATCCAACTACCGATACTCCGCGGCTCGGCCTCCGCGGCGGGCAATTCCCCTTTCTACAACGACATACACACTCGTGCCCCGAACATAAAACCGCATTATAGTGTAAGATAAACGCTCATGATATCAGTAATCCCAGCGTCCCACGTGGACTACGTACTTGTGAGCCTTGGTGGTGGCTGTATCAGGAGTCGCGGCGAGTACCTAGTAGAGGCGAAGACCATTGATGTAGTTTACCAGAAGTCTGAACAGAGAGGCACAGCGACAAGGCTCTGCTGCATGAGAGGCGGAGATATAATGGTATAAAATCCCTCAGATAGGCGACTGATCAGTCTAAGATTAGAATTGTCGGATTCAAGAACTTGTTGGGGGGGAGGGTGGGGTGGGGTTGTGCAAAAGTGGTGTGATTTTGATAGATAGGAGCGTTGGCTCTGTATATACGTGTGAATGACAATTCTCATTTACAAGGTTGAAAATAACTTCATGAAGTGAATGGGTTTAACAGTTATTCTTTAACTTATGTTAATTAATAGTTTTGTTTCATCTGCCACAGCGCAGACTTAGCCAGCTGGCGGACATTTAACTCAGGATCCTGCTCCAGCAGTTCGAGCTTGTTCAGGAATCTTAACTTCTTCAACTCGTTGGCCCGCTGCGAGCAAGCCTGGCTGTCATTGCTGTCGTCCCGCCACGTAAGGTTTGTGACTAGGTAGCACAGGGCTAAGCGCACCTCGATGCTCGGGTGGCTGAATTGCTGAACGAGCAACTTGAGCAGATCAGTCTGCGCGATAACCAGCTGCCGGTGGCGTGGCACGCTGGCTGCCATGTGTACGAGGATGTATCCCACAGCAGTGATGATCTCGGACTGCGGAGGGATTACTCGGGTCTCGGCAGACGATCCGCGGCGGCCAAAGGGGTTGACCACCTTGGGTCGGAGCTTAGATGCCAAGATATCGAACACTCTGTCCTGGCCGAGGGCGTTAAACAGGAAATCGATCATCTCTGTTGTCTCCGTGGTGCCTCCTTGGCCCGCCCCACCTATCAAGTTTCGTATGAAGTCTAGGCCTTGCTCTTGCACTGCTATATCGTCTTTCCTGGCTTTCCTTGCAGGGTTGGTTTCTGCCTCTCTCAAGAGGGCAAGTCGTGCCTCTGCATGCTGCACAGACTTGCTTCGAATACCACGGTGCCGCGAGGAGGGGCGACCAGATCCCATTCCGAGAGCCGTCCCTCCCTGATCATCGTCCATATCAATATCTTCGTCCAGCAAATCTCCATTTTGACTCGCCGCAGCATCATCTCCAGCTCTGGCATTAACAAGAGCCTCGTCTTCCGTATCGTTACATATAAGTTGTACAAGCCAGCCTTGTCCAAGCTCCTCCAAGCACTGTCGTTTCATGTCGTTGCTTACAGCGTGGACAAAGTGTTTCAATGCCCAGACGGCGTTCAGCCTTAATTTAGCGTTTGTAGAATGTGCATGCTCGCACAGGATCTTCAGCACACCGGCTCCCGTGATTTCCTAGTTAAAATTAGCACAGCGGAACTATTTGAGTACTGGACACTAACCTCGCGCATAGGACTCACGTCCGTCACTAGATTGCAGACTGTGGCTGTCGCAGCAATCTGGACTTCGATATCCGGATGCTGGAGGAGATTGAAGACGGGCATGGCCACGCCGTTATCTATCAATGTAGTCCGTAGAATCGTGACCGAACGAGAGAGGGCTCTGACAGCGCCGCACGCAGCAATAAGAACAGGGATAGGATTGGTTCCGTATTGCATCTTTCCATCCTCTTCCTCCTTCGACACCTTATTGGCTGTTTCAGGGGGCTTATCTCCTACCTTTGGAGTAGGTTTGCCAGGATTTGAGCTCATCGACTCCACAATATATGGAATCATGCCCTGGTCCACAATTGCCTTTCGATATTCATCTTTAAAAGGAACCAATGCAGCAATTGCTTTTAGAGCGCTCTCTCGAACCTTGATCTTATGGTTCAATAGAGGAGAGTGTCCTTGATGATCAAGCCGAGATGACTGGTGGCCTCCCATATTATCGGAACTGTCTTCCTCCTGTGGTGACCACCTGTGTGCCATGCTGGCTTCGGGAACTGGATCATAGGAGACTTTCAACATCTTAGACAGTTTGCTGACGAGACTAGCGTCAAACGCGGCATTCTGGAGATATTCGCTATCTGTAATTAGCATTGCGAGAATCGCAGGTGCTCGCTCTTTTATGGCGCAGTCCAAAGAGGTAGCCTCAGCTTCAGCCTGCCCGTCTTTGCCTTTTGGTGGCAACACTATATCATCCAGCATATGTACAAGTAGGGGCACAACGAGTAAGC